TCCACGGCATGTGGGATCTTCCTGGACCGGGGCACGAACCTGTGTCCCCTGCATCGGCAGGCGGACTCTCAACCACTGTGCCAACCAGGGAAGCCCTGATTTTGAGCTTTTTAAATGCTAGCCCATCAGCAGAGGCTTGGGGACAGGTCAGAATCTTGGGGTGAAGGGTAGCCCAGAAGGGGCCCTGGTGAATTGCCCTTTACCGCTTGTCCTAAGACAGGGAGGAGGTTTAAATTATTTTCACTTGTCGATTTAAGAGCCACTGAGCTGTGTACTCCCAGCTTCGTGGAGAAGAAATAACAGGAACGTGAACTAGTGAAGGAACAGGAAAATTGACAAAACCTGTGGAGACTAGGAGAGGTTCAGACTGCTTAGCCTGGATTTCAAAGATTCCAGCGATTTGGCTCCAGATTTGACTTCCAGCCTAATCTACCTGCTGCTTCCTCTTTCATCCAGCCTGTCTGCCCACTGCCTTCCGTAACCTGGTCTTTCTTTCCCCTTGCAGTACTGTCCCTACCTCCCCTCTCTGCCCTAGTTAAACTCTGTTCAAACACAGTTTCACCATTTTGACCAGACTTCTCTGAGTTCCCAAGCTTAAAACGAGGGCCCATTCTTTTCCAGTCGCTAGCCACGTGCTTCCTTGTGATGTGCTTTGCCATCTTGCTCTGTTATTGTAGTCTCTGCTAGTTAATTCACTTTCTGTGTGTGGTTGGGCATCCTCTAGGGCTCTGTATTATAAGCATGTCAGCATCCCTCCAGTGGTGCCTCATACCGAGTAGGTGTTTAATGAACACTTGGTGGATTGGGTGGAAGGGTGGTAACTAGGTAGTAGGGAGTTAGGGGACCTGGGAAGGGTTAAACAGGCTACAGGGCCTAGGAGACTATCCACCCAAGAGGGTCTCAGCAGAGCCTGGCCTGGGCACTAGCCCAGAGGTTCCCGACCCAGGCTGCACGCCAGAATCAGCAGAATCAACAGAGTGCTTTCACCCCTGAGGTTCTGAGTCCATGGGTCTGGGGATTTCCCCAGGGCTTTGTACCCTTGGCCAGCACAGGTTACACTGGCAGAGGCAGCCTCACCAGCTTCCAGGGCTGGAACCAGTGTGAGAACCTGGGGGAACCCGTCAGAAGAAGGGATGTTAGAACACCTAGTACCCATCAGGGATTTT